GAAACAAGAAACCCTTTTAACTACCCCTTCACATTAGTTAATATGCCCAGGTCTTTCATACAGTAAATATTCTAGGCAGAATTTTTAATCTCTTGATTCTTTGCTTTTCCTCCTATTCTTCTCCCTCTCCATAATAAAAATATGGTAAACTAAGCAGACTACTAAATGACAAGGGCATTTTTTAATTAAATCAATTAAATTTCTAAAAATTGTGAAAAATCTCTGCCAGGTTTCATTTAATACACTTAAATCAGCAATTTAGTAAACGAACACATTGCCAGCCACCACAGATAATAAACAATGAGCTGAAACATTTTGGTAAGTTTTTGGACATCATAAAACATGTCTATTTTCTTCAATAGAAAAATCACTTCGATTACACATAACTTATTAAAGCCTTTACAAGTTAGCGAAGAAACTGGATGATTTAGCGGATCACGCCATTTCAATCAATCTGCTGTCCACATACATAAACAGAATTTGGATGACAGTCATCATTTTAGGTTAAGTTTAAGATTTATTTGTTGAGGGAGACATAAAATATCAACAGAAATGAAAATTAATAAATACGAAAATTCATTCATCTTTTTAATACCTCAAAAAATCAAATCATTTTCAGTGCTAAGGTGCCATACCATTTCTTGCCTTTATGACAATAGAAGTAAAATTTTGTGTTCTGGTTTCTTTCTTTCTTTCTCTCTTTCTTTCTTGAGAGAGGGTTCAAGTGAGCTAGGGGCAGAGAGAGAGAGAGAGAGAGGGAGAGAGAGAGAGAGAGAATCCCACGAGAGGCAGAGAGAGACAGAGAGAAGTGGGGCTCACCCGAAGCAAGGCTCGAGCTCACCCGATGCGAGGCTTACTCACGAACTGTGAGATCATGACCTGAGCTGAAGTCAGATGCTTAACAGACTGAACCACTCAGGCACCCATGTTTTCTTAATTTTATCTCATGAGCATTTTATATACTGTCAGAAGATCTTCACAACTATTATGAAAATAATTGTGTAAGTCACCATAATTTAATGGATCATTTCCCTGCTCTTAGACATGTTACTTTTCTCTTCCCCACCTCCTACTCCCATTTTTCGATACTACCACTAACCACCAACATTTCCATTGATGTAGTTTTCCCTTCATTTTTGATGTTTCTCCCTTCAGGTAAATTATCTGAAGTACAGACTCATAGATATGAATATTATTATGGCTCTTATATTTCCCAAGTGCTTTCTAAATTTCACTACCATCAAGATAAAAAGCTTCTGCACAGCAAAGGAAACAATCAACAAAACTAAAAGGCAACCAACGGAATGGGAAAAGATATTTGCAAATGACATATCAGACAAAGGGCTGGCATCCAAAATCTATAAAGAGCTCACCAAACTCCACACCCAAAAAACAAATAATCCAGTGAAGAAAATGGGCAGAAAACATGAATAGACACTTCTCTAAAGCAGACAACCAGATGGCCAACAGGCACATGAAAAGATGCTCAACATAGTTCCTCATCAAGGAAATACAAATCAAAACCACACTCAGATATCACCTCACGCCAGTCAGAGTGGCCAAAATGAGCAAATCAGGAGACTATAGATGCTGGAGAGGATGTGGAGAAACGGGAACCCTCTTGCACTGTTGGTGGGAATGCAAACTGGTGCAGCCGCTCTGGAAAACAGTGTGGAGGTCCCTCAAAAAATTAAAAATAGATCTACCCTATGACCCAGCAATAGCACTGCTAGGAATCTACCCAAGGGATACAGGAGTGCTGATGCATAGGGGCACTTGTACCCCAATGTTTATAGCAGCACTTTCAACAATAGCCAAATTATGGAAAGAGCCTAAATGTCCATCAACTGATGAATGGATAAAGAAATTGTGGTTTATATACACAATGGAGTACTACGTGGCAATGAGAAAGAATGAAATATGGCCCTTTGTAGCAACGTAGATGGAACTGGAGAGTGTGATGCTAAGTGAAATAAGCCATACAGAGAAAGACAGATACCATACATGCTTTAAAATTTTGCTAATCATATTTCCTATTGTGTGGATTGCCTCTGGAGGTTATCTAAAAGATTCATGTGTTTTTTAATTAAATATAATAAATAATATATTTAATATCAGTATTTTGCAATGTGACTTTTTTTGTTACTTCAAAACTCGGGTAATGATCCCATGTCTGACAAATAAACAATATCCCCAAAATTTGATTTTTTTTTTATCTGTGTAATCCACCTGGAATGTATTTTGGCATGTGTTGTGAGATGTGTATCTAAATTACTTCTATTTCAAACTCTAACACCATCACCATTTATTACATACTTCTTCCCTTTCCCATTGCTCTATAAGGCTCTATTCTTTTTTTTTTTTTTTTAATGTTTTTGCTTATTTTGAGAGAGACAGAGCATATACTTTTGAGATGTGGGGGAGGGAGAGAGAGAGAGGGAGAGGGAGAATCCCAAGCAGGCTCTGTGTTGTCTGCATAGAACCTGACGTGGGTCTCAATCTCACAGTGAGAGATCATGACCTGAGCCAAAATCAAGAGTTGGACACTCAATTGACTGAGTCACCCAGGCACCCCTGTAAAACTGTATTCTTACACATTAAACTCTTATATATAACATGCTGAGACTTTCTATACTTTCCTAGATCTAGCACAGTATCAAAAAAGTTAAATTAATAATTTTCTACTATGATTTGATATCTGGAATGGCTTTTCAACATTTATACTGTCTTTTTAAAAATATACCTTTGTTCTCATTAGCTTATTTTCCCAAATAGATTTTTATCATTCTATCACCTTCTAAGAAAATCCAATTGAGGCTTTTGAGACTATACTAATATTTATAAATTAATATGGAAAGCTTTAATAACTTTATTTATCTTTATATCTGGAAACATAACCTACCTCTTTACTAATTCAAAATAAACATTTATTTTTTATTCTTTATTTTAGAGAAAGAGAGTGCATGCAAGCAGGGGAGCAGGGCAAAGGGACAAAGAGAGAGAGAGAATCTCAAGCAGTCTTCATGCTCAGGGTGGAGCTTGACTTAGGGTTCGATCCCACAATCCTGGGATCATGACCTGAGCCGATGTCAAGAGTCAGATGCTCAAACAACTGAGCCACCCAAGCGCCCCACAATAAACAATATTTTAAAGATATGTCCAATACTATATAATTAAAGGGTAGTATGAGATAATGGAAAAAGTGAAGACTATGGAGTGAGGTACACACACACACACACACATATATATCTAGGCTCAAATCCTGTGTGACCTTGGGCAAGATGTTTAGCCTCTCTGAGCCTTACATATTTCCTCTATAAACTGAAGGTAGTGGTACTTCTAGAATGGATGGAAAGAGTAGGGATAATGTATATCCTTACATTGGAGCTGTATAGCTCCAAAGCTATTAAAGCATTTATATACCCAATAAATATTAGCTATGATCATAATTTTCAATATAAAATGTGCTTAGTAATAAGATTTTATAAAGTTCTTTCATGTGTATTATCTCACTTGTTCTGTTGATCTTCACAAAACTCTACTGGATGATAATGATGTTATTACCACTGTTAATACTAAGACCTAATACGTACACATGTATCTTCTTTTAAATCAAAAACACAAGCTCATTTCATATCATCATGACATATATAAATGTATTTGTAGATTATTTATATTACACAATTACCTTGTGCCTGAATACTTTATGATTTTTTTTGTTGTGATAATTATAATTGCCCTTTCTTTATATTTTGAATGCTTTTGATTTTAGTTTGTTTCGTGTTCAACAGTTTTATTGAGATCTTTATTTCCTTTAAAATTATTGTTTATTCTTTTGGTTTTCTGGGTTTTCACATTTCCAAATTATATTCCATGTTATAGGATTGCATATTAATAAAATCAGCCACTTAACTGAAAAATGGAAAAACTAAGACTAGTTATCTCTCATGGTATCATGATATAGTAAAATCTTCCTGTTGGAAAATAACTTTAAGAAGATCATTTAACTATTACTAGCCAGTTTCTTTTAGTTTGCAGATTGTATTAAGAATTTTCTGGGCGCTCTGAGCCTGAGTGTCTCAGTCGGTTAAGTGTCTAACTTCGGCTCAGGTCGTGATCTCATAGCTCGTGAGTTCAAGCCCCGCATGGGGCTCTGTGCTGACAGCTCAGAACCTGAAGAAGCCTGCTTTGGCTAACACACAGTGTGACAGAAAGAGGAATCAATGAGAAGGCATACATCTCTATTTTTTCTTTGTGGGCTTTAAATATTATTCTTGGGGATAAAGAATAAAGGAATGAGTAGAAAGAAGTATAAACCACATGCACTTACACACTTGGGAGAGTTTTGTACCCTTCTTGTCTCTTATTGCAGGGGTGGCACGTTCTTTCTCATTATAACTTAGACTTCCCACTCCCAAATACATCTATTTTTTCCTGCCCCAGAATATCATTTCAGCTTTGGGAGGATAAATTTCTGTGTCTGGACTTGTCTTTCCCCAAATATTCTCAGTAGGGTGCTCCCTTTTAAAATTAATAATAATGAAATACAATTTTGCGGGCGCCTGGGTGGCTCCCTTAGGCGGCTGTCTTCGGCTCAGGTCACGATCTCAGGGTTCGTGGGTTTGAGTCCCACATTGGGCTCTGCGCTGTCAGCACAGATCCTCTGCCTCCCTCTCTCTCTGCCCCACCCCTGCTCTCTCCCTCTCTCATTCTCTCTCAAAAATAAACAAACATTTAAAAAATTTAAAAAAATACCATTTTTTCATTGAATCAGTTGGTTAACACTATCAAAATAATCCACTCCCAAAAGCAATCCAAATAAAAGAATCTACTGATACCTCAAAAATGCTTCTTTTTTTACTTAATCATGTTTTGCTTTTAAATCAATTACAAGGACAAAACAAAACTAGTAATAAAGGTTCAAAACAATGACCAAGATGATACAATTATTTTCACTGCAGAGCCAGACAATTAGCTTCAGGTATGGTTTCCGTACTCACGGGGAAAATGATTAGAAGTGGATGGATTGACACTGTCCCCACTGTCAGCACTCTCGCTGCTGGAAACTTCATCATCTGATTCCCGCACAGAGGAGCAGGGTGAAGAGCCGTCAACTTCTTCAAACTTCCTCTTTAAAATTCCACTCATAGCTGCAGCGCTGTCACATGTACCTGTAACAGGAACGGGAGCAATGAAGCATTGAAATATTTGACCGCTAGATGTGTAGCCAAGGTCTCCAGAGTCATTTTTATGTGTTTTTTTTTTTTTTTTTATACATGAGCTGAGTCTTTCCTTGAAAGGATCACTAAGCAGTTTTTTTTAAAATATTTTCAAATTAACAAAAATTAAACTAAAATTAAATATGAGCAATTGACCATTTGGTTACCAACATGTATCATTTTTTAAAGACAAATTTCTCTATTCCTTTTTGTTGGCAAATTGAGAAAATCTACCTGAGTCCATGAAATCCTGTAATGACAAAAGTGTCAATATCCCCCAAAGTCTTAAATGATTACTGCCTTACATAAAATTCATCTAGAAGAAACACAGATAAGTATGTAAAAACCTCATACTCAGGGCGCCTGGGTGGCGCAGTCGGTTAAGCGTCCGACTTCAGCCAGGTCACGATCTCGCGGTCCGTGAGTTCGAGCCCCGCGTCAGGCTCTGGGCTGATGGCTTGGAGCCTGGAGCTTGTTTCCGATTCTGTGTCTCCCTCTCTCTCTGCCCCTCCCCTGTTCATGCTCTGTCTCTCTCTGTCCCAAAAATAAATAAAAACGTTGAAAAAAAATTAAAAAAAAAAAAAACAAAAAAAACCCCTCATACTCAAGTTTAAAAATGCAAGAGCCTAATTAGCTGAACACAACAAAGCATATGAAATCGGTTCTAAATTTTAGGTAATTTCCATTTCAATACTGCAATTAGATGAAATGTGTTCCCATGATACCTGGTTACCAAAGCTGTTTCCACTGTTTCAGAAACTTCCTAATGCTATTTACCTGGGAAACAGCCTTTAGTGGGCAGGGGGAAAGGTGGGGGTAGTTTCTCCTAAATGCTTTCTCTAGGATGAATGGGCTTTCCTCTCTCCTTGGGCTGCCCTTTCTCCACCTTCCCCATTTACCTTGACATATGCACAGTCAGCTAAAGAGCATAAACTTTCCTTGCAGTGTAAGGATATTTCGGGGAATAACCTATATATAAATTAGCTTAGATATGTATGTACATGGTCTTCCATTGCTAAATTAGGTTAACTTAGCTAAAAGTATTACTAAGTTGATTCCATGCATTCCAACTTCTATCTCATTTACGTCAGCTAATTTTAAGTCTCATTTGAGTTCGTGAAACCGTTATCTCCTTTTCCTGCCAGAGTGAAGCCATCAGTCCTGTTGATCAAGAGAAAGCAAGACCCTTGAAACTATTCTAGATACTGCCCTCAGACATCTCTGAAGTCACCCCTTCTCTGTGAAGATCACACAGCAAGGCAGCACGCCCAGGTCCCCTCAGCTGAGCCAGCTCTCTCGAAAAGTCTAATTCTGTAGTTTTTAAAGTGGGTTACTTGGATTAGCAGAATCAGCATCACTGGGGAGGGCCACTGGCCCCACTTCAGATCTACTGAATCAGACACTTCCAGGAGGTAGTGCCTGGCACTCTGTGTACTCATATCGGAGGACCACTTGTCTAATTTCTAGTCTGCTCTCCAGCAGTTCCCTTCCTTGGGGGTGTCCACTTCCTAGTCCTAGAGAGTGACAAAACCCAGTACTTCAAACCTAGTCAAAATCTCTTCTTTGGCCATCTTTGTGTGTTTTCTAGTAAAATTAAATATAGTATTAAATATCTCGTAAGGATTTATCATTAATTTCAATATTTTCCATTCATCTGAGTACATGTTGAGTTACTGGTATGTATATGGTTGACTCCTTGGGTGGAGTAGGTGACACAAAAGGGAGGAGAACATGTTCCCTGCCCTCAAGGAGCAAACACCCACTATGCGGCTCCATCAAATTGAGAGTACTCCCAAATTCATGTTCTACTGCCTTGTTTTACTAAACCACGTCTTTTACATGACTTATATTAACAATGGAGAGAACAGACGCCATAAGAAGATATTGCACTGTCCACTCTTCTGAGAATAAAATCTCTATCCTGACTCTGATTTTACCACTATTCAAATTAGCATATTATTTTCTCTATCTTAAAGAGTGTGAAATGCATAAAATGTGCATGCATATTGCAGATCTGAGCAGGGCAAGAGAACAAAAGATATTTTAAGTAAAGTTCTTGAAATAAAAGTAGGACAGGATATAAATTTTAAAATGGTTCACTTCAAACAAGATGCAAAGTAATTCATGAGGGAGAGCCTCCAAGACACAAAGTAATAGAAGATGGAAACCCATGTTTAAAAAGTACGTTCTTATAATAAGATAGTGCAATGGGAACAGTTACAAACCATATCCGTAAGTTCCCTCTGCTCCCAGCTTCCTTAGGAAAGGCAGATTTCTCAAGAACCGAAGACATTCAATTGCACCACAGACAACAATGTTTCAATATGGTAAAGTGGTACTTGGTACTCTTCCTTGTTTGCTTCCTCAAGAATAAGAGGGGAACTTTTTGGAGGGATGACAAGGAAATTGAAAAGTGTCTTTTTCTTTTTGTTATTATATTTTGGGACTGGCAAGCAATGGAGTTGAAGGTTAGATACAATTTCTGTCTACATCTTTAAGGCTGAAAGAACCTGAGCTGGACCCAGCTCAAAGGAAAGAAGGAACTGACCCTTTAGGTTGGGGTTAGTATATAAACTAGAAATTAAAAATTCAAATAATTACAGGGGCACCTGGATGGCTCAGTCAGTTAAGTGTCCGGCTCTTGATTTTAGCTCAGGTCACAATCCCTAGGTCATGAGTTCGAGGCCAACTTCAGGCTCTGTGCTGGCATTGCGGAGCCTGCTTGAGATTCTCTCTCTCTCTCTCTCTCTGCCTCTCACCCACCTGTCTCTCACAAAATAAAGAAATAAACTTAAAAAAATTCAAATTATTACAGAAGTGCATAACCTTAACATATACATATGATACTGGTTAAGTGCTGATTGCTTGTGCAGCAAACAAGCATAATACTTGTCTAGTTGCACTGCCTTTAAAAAATAATATGTTGGGGCGCCTGGGTGGCGCAGTCGGTTAAGCATCCGACTTCAGCTCAGGTCACGATCTTGCGGTCCGTGAGTTCGAGCCCCGCGTCAGGCTCTGGGCTGATGGCTCAGAGCCTGGAGCCTGCTTCCGATTCTGTGTCTCCTTCTCTCTCTGCCCCTCCCCCCTTCATGCTCTGTCTCTCTCTGTCTCAAAAATAAATAAACGTTAAAAAAAAATTAAAAAAAAATATTATGTGAGTGTAATAAGAGGTCATGACAAATCATAAGGCCAAATGACCCATCGCTTAAAGGAATGTAACCCTTCATTTAAACCCAACAGTGGAGTGGTAAAAAGATCATGTGGTTTTCTTCTACATCATCTACACTATCTCACTGGGGAAGAGAAGAATATGAGAATTTAGAGGGAAGGCCCTGTTCATAGAGAAGTTGTATATACCTGGTTTGCTTGTGTCCTGTATCGATTCAGAATTTGAGGAGGACAATATGAGGCTAGTTAGGTACAGATGCTACAGGGAGTACAACGAATGCCTGTCTTACGGCTGCCACAGTTCCTTAAATATCCACTTATCATATTTTTGTTCCTAAAGATGAGGCATAATTAAACTTCATGGATGTGAAGCCAATGAAAAAGTGGTCAACATTTCAAATTGGCTTTATATAGCATCAAAGCCCAAAGAACAGAAGATAAATCTGGACAGGCATTAATCTGTTCTAAATGTGAGAAGCTGAAAATCTAAGCCTCAATAACAGCCATTTTAACACAGCTACTGTTTTCCAATTCATGAAACATATGCTAGTCAAGAGCATCACCATTTCTCATTTGGACTAGGACAAGAGCCTCCTAATTACTCTCTCCCATCCACTACTGTTTGCTTTAGATGTGTTTTCCAGGTTGCAGGCAGAATGATAAATCTAAAATGCAAATCTGATCATGTGAGTCTATAGCTTAAAACTCTTAAGTGGCTTTGGATTGCCTTAGGATGAGTTCAAAATCCTCAAAATGGCTTATAAAGTCCTTAACAATCTACTTTACCTAACCTCTTCATCTTCATTTTGAGCCATTGCCTTGTTGCCAGTATTTTAGCTCTAATAATCTTTCAGTTTCTCCAACCTGCCATTTCTCTCTGGCTTCCAGGCCTTTTGATATATTGTTCCTTCTGATCCCCTTTTTAATTCTTTTCCCATAGCAATTACCATCTTCTAAATCCATGTTATTTATTTATATATTTCGAGGTTTATTATCTATCGCTTTCATCCCCTGCTACAAGATACAAGGGCAAGGATCTTTGTTTTCTTTACTGAGTACCAATGGCTTAGAACAGTGTCTTATATATTATAGATGCTTAATAAATATTTGTTGATGAATGCATAGAACCCTTCCATTTCTATACTTTAATTACTTATCAGTGTCTGTTTTCTCTGCTAGACTGAAAGCTCCATGAAGCAGAAATCAAGTTCATCTCATTCGCCACTCTCTCTTTCCTCACTAACAAAATATCTGGCACTTTTGATTGGATGAGAATCAAAATGAAAGATGAAATTGACCTCAAAACGTCATACATTTTTTTTTTCTTGCAAGCAGCCCAAAAGCAAATTCTAGCTAACTTAAGCACAAAGACATCTGTTGGAAAAATACTGAACTAGTTCATGCAATCTAAGATAGAGCTGAAATCCAAAATTAAAGGAATGCAGGAGTAAGGACAGCTTCTAAGGTTATGACTGTAGAAATTCCTTATCTTTTTTCTAGGGCACCACTGTTACCAGGTTTAAGTCCAGCAACTTCTCTCTATGTCTCACAGTTCAAGTTTAGTGTTCCAAGGAGTGAGTAATGTTTTCGCCCATCTTGGGTGAGGGGTCAGCCCTTTGATCACTCAACTACATGGCCGGAAGGCAAAGAGCCACCCAATTAGGTACTACTCCAGAGAATCTTACTCAGAGGCCTCAATAAGTTCAATTGTACTTCAAAGCCAATATTTTCTTCTTGTCTAACACTGATTTATCCTAATTTTTTCATTCATTAATAGAGTCCAT